CGACCACGCCCAGCACGACCACGCCCCAGCACGACCACACCCCAGCACGACACAGACCCCAGCACGCACGACACACCCCAGCACGACCACGCCCCAGCACGACCACACCCCAGCACGAACCACGCACGACCACACCCCAGCACGACCACACCCCAGCACGACCCCACAGCACGACCACACCCCAGCACGACCACACCCCAGCACGACCACACCCCAGCACGACCCCACCCCAGCACGACCCCACCCAGCACGACCACACCCCAGCACGACCACACCCCAGCACGACCCACCCCAGCACGACCCCACCCCAGCAAGACCACACCCCAGCACGACCACACCCCAGCACGACCTCACCACAGCACGACCACACCCCAGCACGACCACGCCCCAGCACGACCACGCCCCAGCACGACCACGCCCCAGCACGACCACCCCCCAGCACGACCACCCCCCTAGCACGACCACCCCCCAGCACGACCACCCCCCAGCACGACCACACCCCAGCACGACCACACCCCAACACGACCATACTCCAGCACGACCACACCCCAGCACGACCACACCCAGTCGCACCCCCGTGGAATGTTTCGTGGGGTGTCTGGTTGAGTGGTTGCCTGTTCGTGGGGTGTCTCGTGGAATGTTTCACGGGGTGTCTCGTGGAATGTTTCGTGAGGTGTCTCGTGGGTTGTTTCGTGAGGTGTCTCCTGGGATGTTTCGCGGGGTGTCTCGTGGGATGTTTCGTGAGGTGTCGCCCAGTTGGATATCGTGAAAACGTGACCATGCTGCACATGTCTATATCCCTTTCCGGGTTCGTGGGTCCATCATGTTTTGGAAAAAGAACTAAAACCAAAACCGAAAGGGTCCAGCACGTCAGGCACCCTTGCGATGAATCGACAGGGGACGGCAGATCGAAGACGCTTACGGCGAATCACCGCCGCCCCTTGCCTTTTTGGAAGCGCCTATGTGGCCGAACGTTGAGGCCAGACCTGCCAGGCTATCGGACCATGTGTTCCCCGAGTCGGTTTGGAAAGCCTTCGGGGAACACGTGGGCATCTTGAAGGTCATCTTGGCCGTCTGGAGGCCATTTTGACCCTTTCGGGCCTTCTTGGAGGACGTCTTGGAGGGCTCTTGGGCTGTCTTGGAGGCCCTCTTGGGGCTGTCTTGGGGGCTTCTTGGGCCGTCATGAGGTCATCTTGGAGGCCTCGTGGGTGATCTTGTAGCGATCTTGGGGGCATCTTGGGCCGTCTTGAGCCGTCGGAAGGCCGAAAAGAAGCAAATGCCACAATCCTTCAAAAACACATTCGAAATCAATGGTTTTGGCCCTGTCGTGCCTTCCTGGAGGCCGTCTTGGAGGCCTCTTTGGCCGTCTTGGGCCATCTTATGGCCATCTTCGGCAGTCTTGGTGGGCTCCTGGCCCGTCTGACGCCGTCGGAAGCCGTTTGGGTGGCCTCTCTGGGCCGATTTGGGGCCTTCTTGGAATGCTCCAGGGTCGTCTTGGAGGCCATCTTGGGCATCTTAAAGGCCTTCTGGGCCGTCTTGGGGGCCTCTTGGGGCTGTCTTGGGGGCCTCTTAGGCCGTTCTGGGGCCATCTCGGAGGCCTATTGGGCGATCTTTGGGGGCTCTTGGGCCGCCTCGGGCCGTCAGAAAGCCGAAAAGAAGCAAATGTCAAAATCGTTCAAAATCCGCAGGAACATACAGAATGTGTGCCTCTTCTGGCCTTCCTGGAGGCCCTCTTGGAGGCCTCTTGGGCCGTCTTGGGCCAGCTTCGAGCCAACTTCGGCCATCTTGGTGGGTTCCTGGCACGTCTGACGCCGTCGGGAGCCGTCTTTGGGGCCTCTCTGACCCGGCTTGGGGCCCTCTTGGGGCGCTTCGGGGCCGTCTTGGATGCCATCTTGGGCGTCTTGGAGGCCTCGCGGCCCGTCTTGGGGCCCTATCGGGGCCGTCTTGGGGGCCTCTTGGGCCGTCATGGGGTCATCTTGATGGCCTCGTGGGCGATCTTGGGGCGATCTTGGGGGCCTCGTGGGCCGTCTTGAGCCGTCGGAATGCCGAAAAGAAGCAAATGCCCAAAAACATCTAAAGAAAATCAATGATTTTGGCTTGTTCGGACCCTCCTGGAGGACCTCTTGGAGGCATCTTGGGTCGTCTTGGGCCGTCTTGGAGGCTTCTTGGGCGAACTTGGAGGTATCTTGGACTCTCTTGGGCCGTCTTGGAGGCTGTCTTGGACCATCTTGGGCGGACTTGGAGGCCATCTTGGAGACCATCTTGGAGACCATCTCAGGCCAACGTGGCCATCTTGGAGGCCATTTTTGGTCATCTTGGAGCCATCTGGGGCAGGAAAACCCTCGGCAACCACCTCTGGAAGATCTTGGGCAATCCTTTCGGGTGGCCGGCGGGACGCGCCGAGGACCCCGGGGGGTTCTTCTGGAAGAACCCAAACCAAAACCGAAGGGACCTAGCACGCCAGGCACCCCTGTGATGAATTAAGAGGGGGCGGCGGACCAGAGTGTCCTTCGGTCCATCGGGTCTGAGGCCTCTTGTATATGTGTTGGGGGGTCGTGGGGAGCCGCTCGGGGGCCTCTTGGAGGCGGTTTGGACGCCTCTTGGGGGCCTCTTGGGGTATATTTGGGGCCTCTTGGAGGCCTCTTGAGCGCGTCTTCGGCGCCTCTTGGGGCCTCTTGGCGGCCTCTTGGGGCATCCTGGGGGCTTCTCTGGGCGCTTCTTGGGCCATCTTGGAGGCCATCTTGGGAACCTCTTGGAGGCGTCTTGGGCTGTCCTGGGGCGGTCTTGGGAGCTTCTTGGGCCGTCTTGGAGCGTCTGAAAGCCGAACATGCGAGGAAGCCAACATCCTTCAAAAACTGTTGTAGAATCGACGATGTTGGCCTCTTGTGGCTCTCTCGGGAGGCCTCTTGGAGCGCTCTTGGGGCCTCTTGGGGCCCTCTTGGGCCGTCATGGGGCTATCTTCGGGCACCTTGGAGCACTCTTGGCCTCGGCAATGCGAATCTGGCGTAATTTGCGCGGGTGCATGCCCTCGGGAACGCGAATCTGGTGTAATTTGCGAGGGTGCGTTGCCTCGGGGACGCAACAATTACATGATTTGCTAGGGTTTGTTGCCTCGGGGAGGCGAAGCTTGTATCATTTACGAAGGGGTTATGGTTTCGGGAACGTGAATACAACGAAATGTATGAAGGTTTGTTGCCTCGGGGGCGCAGACATTGTATAATTCACTGGGGGGTGTGGCTGTGGGGGCGCGAGCATTGCGTAATTGACGAGGGATTATGGCCTCGGGGGCGCGAATCTCAAGTATTTTCACGTGTCCCACGCCACCCCAAGGAATTCAGGCAACGCGATTTGGGGGTGGTAGACATGCTGGTTTGGGCCCCCCCCCATCGCGCGGACTTCAACAATTTACAGTAGGAAGCAGGAAACAAGATTGTAACACTGGAGACTTGAAACTGCAACTGGCGCAGGGAGCAGCAATCTAATCCTACAGCCTGGTGGCCCCACAAGGCGGCCGGCGGATTTTTGCATGTTCTTCGATTGCTTTAGATTTTTCTTCCCAAACGCGCCTGTAGGAGGACATGCCCGACCCAAGTATAGGGCATGGCGCCGTGCTCGGACAGGGGGCGCTGGTGGTCTCCACGAGGGGGTGGGGGCCATGCGCACCCCGGCCAGCGTTGGCCAAAGGCCATGTGTCTCGGACCCGCCCGGGCCAGCCACGTGGCTCGCAGGCGATTCTTCCATCCCACCCCGCGATTTTTTGACGACAATGAAGCGGCTGATAAAAGGAGGGGAACCCTGGGATACACCCCCAGGAGGCTATTCGGAGGCACCCCTATCGAGGATGGACGCCCCCCTTTGTATAACTATCCCAGGATTGGGCCCCAAATTTTTGGGCCATTCGAAAACTCCACGAAGCCTGGGAGAGGGGTCGACAGATCCCCTGTCAGTGGCAGCTCCCGGACTAGCGGTGGGAGGGGAACGAGGGGGTCGGCTCCGCGTGGTTCCCGAACCCGTGCCAGCTGGTGCACCCATCGGGGTCGGCGGACCCCTGTCCGGGCGGAGCCCCGCTGCCTCCGCGCCCCGGCCCGGTGTCGGCAGGCCCGGAGGGGGGGGGGGGAGACGCTGCGGCGATGCGCTGTCCTCCAGCCGGCCGCGGCCGCAGTGGGGCAGGCGGCGTCTGCCCCCAATCCGAACGGGCAACGTCCGCGGAGACGCAGACAGCGAGTCTGGATCCAAACGGACCGGAATTGCTGCTGGTCTTCGTTCCGATGTTTCCGCCCCTGCTTTGATCGTACCGACCCCATGGGGTCTTCTTCCACTTCCTCCTCCTCCTCCGCATCCTCCTTTCCCATCCTCTTCCTCCTCTTCTTCTTCCTCCTCCGCATCCTCCTTCCCCATCCTCTTCCTCCTCTTCCTCTTCTTCCTCCTCCTCCTCCTCCTTTTCCTCCTTTTCCTCCTCCTCCCACGCCCTCTTCCTCCTCCTCCTCCGCCTCCTCCTCGTCCTCCCGTCCTCCTTCTCCTCCTCCTCCTCCTCCTCCTCCTCCTCCTCCTCCCTCCTGCTCGTCCTTCTCTGTCTCCTCCTCCTGACTTCACGTTCAACCTGACTTCAAGTGCATGTGCGCTGTTCAGCTGCAAGCGTGGCGCTCTGCACGGCCAGCTCGGCGGCTTGCCAACGCTTGCTTTGAGATGCGTCTTGCCCCCGGGCAGGCAGATGGTGCCGCTGAGGCTGCGTTGCCACCAAGCACTTTGAAAACAAGGTTGTGCCGAAACTCGGAGATTCTAGGCCTCCTAGTTGGGAACGGAGTAGACGGGGTCGGAGGATCGCGCCGCATCGCCGATGCATCGACGATGCGGCTCGATGCGGAGCCCGATTTTCTCAACGCCGACGTCGCCGATGCGGCGCGATCCTCCAACCCCATCTACTCGGACCCCATCTAGGAGGCCTCTGGAGATTGCAGGCCGAAGAGCCCGCAGAATGCCCCTCCCCCCTCCCTCCCGAGGATCGCGTGGGACAGTCCGCGGCAGCCCGGCGCCGTGGACGGGGAGCCCCCCGAGCTCGCACAGCAGCACGGCGCCGCCCGAGAGCTGGGCAACTCGTCGCCTGGGGCCAACGACTCGGTCACCCTCAGCAGGAGCCTCGCGCCTGCGGTGCAAGCGGTGCCAGCTGGTGCTGGCCCTCGGGCGCTGCGCAAAGGGGTAGCGATAAATGGGGCGTTCCAGAGAGGGCCGTGCCTTCGAGGATCGAAGGAGTTGCCATCTCTTCCTCGGCAGAAGGCGGCGGAAGGTCGGCGGAAGTAAAACAAGGCCGCCTCCGCCGGCGGAAGCTTGGCGGAAGGCTGGCAGAAGGCGGCGGAAGTAAAAGGTCTTGGGACCCGCATGGGGGCACCTGCCCATCTCCTTGCTGCACCTGGGCATCGGCCCCCAGCGGGGCGCTCCACGGGCCAGGGGAGCCGAGAACCAGCAACTCTGCTGTGGCGCGACCGTGAGGCGAGCGCGCGCGACGGCGCGGCGCGCACCCGCGCTCGCATCCCGAGCGCGGGGCGCAAGGTCACAGTTCCCCGCTTCGGCAAAGAAGCACCACGGGCGAACTCCTCCTCCTCTTCCTCCTCCTCCTCCCAAATTCGTTGAGGTGAGTCGCGGCCTGGTTTAAGGCTTGGCCCCCCTCTGAGCTTTCTTTTTTGTTCCCTGGAGCCCATGCCCCACGGCCGTGCCCCGCCTTTAAAGCTCTTGGGCCGTCCAGCCGAGGTGGGGTGGTAGGCGGGAGCGTAGCTTCATGAAGTTCTGTCCGCCACGCGAAACGAAACGAAACGATGCTCTTCGTGTCTGTTGGATGTTCTTGTGCATTCTGGGGGAGGGTACCCTTGGATGTTCTCTGAGTTTTGGCCGGCGGAAGGTCTCATGATTTGGGAGGAGGTTCTTCTGTCCTAGGTCCAGCCGTAGGTTGCCTCTCTCGGGCGGGAGGCAGGAGCAGCGGCGTGGAGCGTAGCTTCATGAAGTTCTGTCCGCCACGCGAAACGAAACGAAACGATGCTCTTCGTGTCTGTTGGATGTTCTTGTGCATTCTGGGGGAGGGTACCCTTGGATGTTCTCTGAGTTTTGGCCAGCGGAAGGTCTCATGATTTGGGAGGAGGTTCTTCTGTCCTAGGTCCAGCCGTAGGTTGCCTCTCTCGGGCGCGAGGCAGGAGCAGCGGTGTGTACCGAGGCTCGGTAGAGGACGGGCCGAGTGATCCCGCTGGTGCTCTGGTGATTCCTCCTCCTCAGGGCGACTGGATCTATGCATATCCACTGCTGCTGGCCAGACCCATCCAAAGCCCAGGAGCGGTGTATATGCCTCCCTGGCCAAATCGCGGGGGGCGTACACACCGCGCCTGGGCCCCGGATAGGCCTGGCCAGCGGCGGTGGGTATGTATAGATCTCGTCACCCCCTCTCAGATGCTCGTTTGAGGGACCTTCCCAGGGCCCACCTGACGGATTTGTTCGACTCTAGTTCTACCCCGGTTCGACTTGACTCAAGTTCGACCCAGGTTCGACTCAGGTT